TTACCCCGTGGTCGAAGGCCCTGCCGTATAATAAATCAAATAATGATTAGTGGTTCTTGTTAAAAGTAGGTTAAGGAACAGTTGCGTTACTGTGACGCAATACTCATATCGCTGGTTCAAATTTTGACCACCCTACCCTCATTGAACTTTCGATCTTTGTCCCTTGGGCTATAAAAACACTTCTCCCCGTCGCCGGCATCGCCACTACTCATCCACCACTGCGACCTATTTTTATTTAACTTGTACTCTTTTTTTGGGGCTTCGGCTCCCCAGAACCTCGCCACTTTTGTATGCATTATCTCTTTAACTTACTATGTATCAGTAAATATTTATATAGGACGCGACATCCTACACACACATACACACCCCTACAACCGAAGCACACACACTGGCCTGATAAGCTAACAGCTAGAGTCGCGGTAGGCCAGGTATACATACGCCTGGCATATAAGACATCACTAACGCACTGAGTGCCCAGGATTCTTGGTAATTTTTGTTGTCTCGTGGAACTGCCCAAACCTAACTGTTGGATGTTCTGTGAAGTATTTGCTTAAACACAACGTTTATATGCAGTTGCTTTGCCAGGGTTTGAAAGATGGTGATCATATTATACAGTTTGGTCCATTGCACGCTGGAAATTTCAATGAAATGCAACAATTCACCACCATTGTACAAAATTCTATAAACGTAAATTTCTTTCAATGTTTGATTTTTTAAGAATTTGCTGTTGCTGTCAGGACGAAAATTAAAAAAACTTACAAAGTTTTCGACTTAAACAGAAAATGGGCCAATTTGTTTATTTTCTTATGCTAAATTTTAATTAGTAATGACATATTTTGTCAATTTGTTTCGATGAGAAATTGGTATTGGCATGTGCTAGAAAGTCAAAGCCACCATCAGCTTGCTGCTAAACAATCCCCGTCGGCATCTTTGCTAGCAGACAGCTCCTTTGAGTAGACGTACTTCTGACTGCGTTCAACCCTCAGGAAATGAATGCGGGAGTAATTTTGACTTTCCTGACTTCATGTAGCATGTCCCAAATACTTCACGCAGTTCTCGCATTCCAATTATTACAAAGTGAAAAAAAAGCTTATTATATGTAACCTTGAGTGGGAATAAGGAATGCAAAACTTCTGTTTGTTGAAATTTTCACAGTGCGATTTTCCTGTGACAGCGAAAATCACATTTT